TAACAAAAAAGAAACCAACTTGACAAATCTTTTTAGATTTATACCTTATTTTTTATTCTAAATTTATAATTTATAATGAGATATTTAAATAATTTTAGAAGGAATATAACTGAATTTTAATTTATATAATAAATAAACATGTTTAATGAACAATTTAAATTTTACATTTTATATAATTTATTTTTTTTAACGTCTGAAATAGTCTGTTTTTTAAAATGTGATGATAAAATTGTGGAGGAATAATTCATAATGTTGTAAAAAAAAATGTTATGAATCATTTTAGACTTAAAATAAAATTTACTATAGATGTATATCCTAAAATTAATTGTAGACAAAAAACATATGTTGGTTTAGAAAAATTAATTGGTCATGATCTTTGTGCAAATTTTTTAGATCTATCAATCACTGATTCATATATATATCAAAATAAAAATCTTGATCTAGAGATATAAAGAATATATGATAAAGATGGAGATAGTTTTGGAGAATTGTTATATAAAAATGCTGAAGATCATATACCATAATCAGTATTATCATATGAATCATTTAAGCAAAAAGTAAATTTAAATAATGAACAGAAAATAAGTGCAATATTTTGTGCAAAAAACTATGAAGTTGCAGAATATCAGGATAAAAATAGATCAGAATTTGCAATAAGATTTGTTTATGAAATTGGTATAGCTAAAGAAAGGTATTTTATTATTCTGAATATAGTATTGCTATTAAAGTGACATCAAATTTAATATAGTATTAGTTAATACAAGCTATACATAATATAGCTAGACTTAATTTAAGTGAAGATGGCATTTGATATACTAGTGCAATTACTTTAACTAAAAAAACTGCTAAAGCAATAGGAAAAGAAGTAAATATTACTAAAAATTAGATTTTTTAATTAATTTTATAATAATTTTTATTTTTTTATATATTTTATCAATAAAAAAATCATTAAAATAAAGGTTTATCTATGCTGATTTAATGTTTAATTATCTTATCGATATAAAATAATTAACTCTATGCATTTCTAATGAAATTTAAATTTATAATTTAAATTAATAAAATAAATTTCAATTATTAACTATTAATACATTTCAACAATTATAAAGTATTTCAATTATTATAATGTATTAAATAGGATAAAATTGATGATGTTTCATATTCTATATTAATATAAAGGTATTATTATTATTATTACAAGTATGATTCTTATAAAAACATTCTTTTACATAAAATTTTATATAATACTGTGTTTTTGTATAAAATGTTTTAACTTTCAAATTTATGTGAAAATTTTACATAGCAAATATGCAAAAATTATTTCTTAAGCTATGTATGATCCAGAAAAAACTGCATAAAAAATAAGGTTTATGAACTTTACTATGATATTAAATATAAGCATTTACTATGAAAATATTAATAATGATAAATGTAATAGGATCCAAAATTTATTATACTGAAATGACAAAATTCATGAACGATACGAACTTTTCAGATTGATGCATAAAATAGGAGTTGAAATAAAAAAAAAAAACTCTATTTTATGTAGGTGAAATCAAAAAAATTGTATTATGGATGTCAGTCATGTGGGTGGCGTAATATTTATCAACATAAGCCCTTAAAAAAAAAAAAAAAAAAAAAAAAAAAAAAAAAAACATGAAAATCATCCCGGGTTTTCTTCGTGGGAAGTGGCTTATCAAAAAAACAATAAAATTTTGTGGTCAATACGTGGTTAAGCATTTATGTCGCTTCAGATATTTATATTAAAAAATAAATAAACTTGCATATACAGTATACATGCGCAACAAAATTAGGTAACATGAGTTTAGCCTCGTATAATTCGAAGTTCAAAATATATTCATGAATATTTTTTTTAATATTTTCACGGACTGAGCCTAAAAATTCCATGATATAAACCAGATATGTCACGGCGAAGCCTCAAAATAAACACAACATTATGATATTGTCGACAAGTCGCGGCAAAGCCTCAAAATAAACAAAACATTATGATATTACCAAGTCACGGCGTTTAACTTGGAAAGGAATTAGATTTAATGAAAATGAAAATGAGGATCTTACAGAAACTTGGTTTTTTTAATACGCAGTAACTGCAAAGTGATTATATAGTGTATATATAGTTACTACCTTACTTAATAGTAGGTTAATCGCGACGTAATAGGTACTATGCAGTTACTGCATAGTAAGGAAACAAAGTTTCTGTAAAGCATTCTTTATAATTATTTGAGAAACATCCACGGAAAATTTTTTTCATTAGGTGAATACATCTCGGTGAAATTACCAGTCATTTATCGTTATTAATCATTTTAGATAATTAGGCTTTACCAACTTTTTGAACCAAATGATTATCTTTCGCAAAAAAAAAAAACTTTTCCTCGAAACTAGCGTAAATATAAATTAAGCTTTTTCGAAACAGCTGAAACAATAAAAAAGAAAGAAGAAACAAAAATCGGTAAATCATGACAAACATTAGACACGATAGCATTTATAGAAAGAAAATAAATAGATAAAAGTTTATTTTTAATTTTTAATTTTTTTTAAAAAAAAATTTTCTATATAATTCGAAGGAGTTCTCAAAGGAGTTGATATGGTAAAAAAAAAAAAAAAAAAAGAAAGAAGGGACAACTTGAGAAAGTTGAATACAATTAAAAGATTTAAAATTTTATACATAATTCGAAAGAAATAAATAAATGCTTAGATATTTTGTGAAATAATGTAATATTTAAAAAAAAAATATACAAATTATCTTTTTTAAAAAAAAAAAAAGAAATCTTACAAAAAAAAAGAAAATTATGAAATTGTGTGAAATGAGAATATAATAATAGGAGATTAGAATGGTAAAATTGATGCGAAATTGAAGTATTTATCAACTATAAACCATAAGCTATAATAATATAATAATATAAAAGATCGCTATTAATGAAATATATTGTTCATATGTACAAAAACTATCGCTATTAATGAAATTTAACGAATATAATCTTCCATATCGTCTTCAACCATTTCCTCATCTAAAAGTTTCTCAACCTCCTTTTGATAATAGGCGAGACAAATAGCTTGAGCTTCAATTCCCAACCCGAGAAATTCAATATTTTGCCAGACATCATAGTAATTTTCCAAAGTAAATGTATCATACCACTTATCAGCGTCACCGTCATATAAGTATCGTAGAATGGGTTCAAAGGTATCAGGAGAAGGTACGTTGATAGTAATCACATCCCCGGAAGTAACGTTTTGAAGGGATTCTTGAAAGAAAACAGACTGAAGGACGAGATATTCTTCATGGATCCAAAATGGTTTCTCAATTCCTTCGACATAAAGTTCAACGAATGCTGTTGATTTATCACCAAAATATCTTGGACCTAATTGATGAAGTTTCTCGAGGATATAAGTTGACGGAATCCCTTCTATGGCCGTAAAATGACGAGATTTACAAGGTGATTGTGGTTGATGTTCAATGACGCGTTCGTTACAAATTGGTGTTGAGGCATGCATTCTGATGATTTGTATGATAGATTGATGAGTGATTTGTTTTAGGATTTTGGTCCTGCAGAAAATTATTTTGGCGATATGTATATTTGAAAAAAGTTTTTTTTTTTTTTTTCAAAATGTTTTAGAAAGTTGGTTGTTGAGAGAAGTGAAGGCATGCTCAGAACTCATCGCTTTTATGCAATTTTCGAGGTTAAAATATTCATCACTTTTTGTTATTGTTCAATAATAATTGGACAATCGAAATTCTACAGAATACTGTGAAATAGAAAAATTGTGAACAATGTAACTATAACAGGGTCAGGATTTGTACATCATTTTCTAGCATTATTTTTAGACTTTATATTTTTTTTTATATTAAAACCTTTTATTGTATAATGTTCATGTTTTGAACAATATACTATAAGGATAAGTAAACTCATTCATTGTCTTTTAAATGATAAAATAATGATTATAATTTACGTATTTGGTGTCACTATTACCTTTATATATGGGATAGTTTAAAGTTTACCCAGGAAAAAGATGTACCAAGTGAAGATTATATTAAAAAAATATTCCGGACCATTCATAAACTTTTCCCATATTTAGAAATCCAGAATCATCATCAAATATTTATGCTGCAAAAACAGGACTTTGACGATCTTTTGCGAATGCGTTTCAAAGCACAACCGAATTTTACTTTCTAAAAGTAGATTCTATTAAAATACACAATTAGATGTAAACTGCACATATCGTTTCGATACTCAACATTTTTTTTTTGTTTCATTCATCTAACATCACCTGTTCGTTGAATTACAAATTGCTTTAAAGAAAGACAAGAAGAGAGATTTACGAGATGTACAAGAATAATCATGGACCTCATTCTTTATTGTTGAGCCACAAGGACATTATTGGAAGATTATTTCACAAGATTCTGCAAATTAGCCACAATCCCACAATCACCAAATTTTTGGAGTATGCTTAACCCGCATTACAAATAAACGTTAAAATTTTCTTCATTCTTCGAATAAAAAAGCGTTATACTTTTCGAGTTTCATTCATGGAAAATATTACGCACATTTTTAGGTTTTGTGTAACGCGACAAAAGAACAATATTTTGCCACATTTCGATTCAATGGATGAAAATCACGACCAAATATTTAATTTCTCATGCAACATGGCGTACGAAATCTACCTCAAAAAGATTTTACATTGTACGTGCATGCCTATTATATTCTTAGCACTTACCAAACTTAACCACCTTCTTACCAGAATTTAAATATCACATTGTTCTTTGATATAATAACACATTGGAATCGCTTTCTTTGAATCCTGCGCCACTAATTTTAGGTTTAAAGAAATGAATGGGTGGCGCTACATAAAAACAATCCTTCTTTTCGCGAATTTAATTATACAATGAGGAATTTTAAGGTGATTTTCTTGACCTTGGCCAAAAATTGATTTTGTTATTATCACCTTTTGTAAATAAAGAATTAAGTAATCATTTAATGATCGTACGTAAAATTCCGGGAAAGTCAAAGAAAGGAAAAAAATTACATTCTTTGCTAAATTCGTGCGCGTTCTTTAAAGTAATCTATTGTGGTTTGCTCTTTGTATTCCTTAAACTGTTTATTGTTCGACTTCTTCAACAATCATTTTTTTTTATTAAAAGACGCGATTTCCTGCCGCGTTCTACTTACTACATTCAATGAGTTCAATGAGCGATTCGTCCTGCGTATTTGATTTTCTTGGCTTGTATAAAAACCTTACGCGATGTATGATACAAATATATGCTGCTTGGTGCAGAATTTCATTGACCAATGTAACGTGTAAAAAATTCCCATAGTGATGCTTACACAATCTTATAACCTTGAAAAGAAATTTTAACCACTTTAAGTAATTTTCTTTGGTACTTGTTCCCTTTATTTTTCTTAGTTCGTAAGACAATTCTCTATTTGTCTCGTACATTTTTAAGTTAACTGAATGCGGAAAAAAAAAAAAAAAAATCCAACATCCCATTCATTATACGCGTATCCATTTCAACATCATGAAAATCTTTTAATTAAAGTTTTCTCTTGTTTACTTTATTGATTGTTTGTAAAACTACGATAATGCAATTAATTAATCTCTTATAATTAAGTTCTCGTAAAGATTTCTTTCTTTCAACACTAACTGCTGCAAGATTTTTATTCGACAAGGTCAATGAATGAATCGGAATTTGAAAAATTCGTTGATCGTTACATATACGATTAATAATCTCTCGGCGTTCCATTTAATAATTGAAGAAATAAGAACCCTTTAAGGAAAATTTAAATCATTGAGGGTTCATCTATGAACCAATCTTAATATTGTCCGGATGAATCGTCTGCCACTGCAAGAAGGGGTGAGAATTTCTCTACTTTTTCTTATTTTCCAAAAAGGTATTCACTTAAAAAAAAAAAAATTAAAGATTTTTGTAAAACAACATTAATCCGAAGATTGATAAATTAAAAATATCGTGAAGGGTTTGATTCTTATTTATCTTGTTTAATTTATTATCTTTTCCACGACGCACAAAAGATTGGATATTCACTTGTTTCATTTTTTTTTTTTTTTTTTTTTTGTAGGAAAAAAAAAATGAACCAACCTCAGCTTTTTAAAAATTGGCCAACAGCAAATATTTGACTCTTACGACCATGATAAAACGCACGGAGTTAATTTTTCCGACACATCAAAATACGTAATACATCGTCGATTTACTTAATGTATCGAAATATATTATATAAAAAAAAGAATTTTAATTTAAATAAATCTTGGTTGAAATTTTAATCTATCCTTTTCTTATCACGGGCATTAGTAATCAGAAATACATTAGTCATTTACCGCGAAATCTGAGATATCATCAGGGACCCTGAGAAGTTATCGGCGATTGAGCGGTAAATAACTATTACCAAATAACTCTAAACTTCGTGTCAATGTTTTTTTTATTGAACCTTTAATAAGTAATGCCGAACATAGCACAAAATTCATTTGAAAATTTTTTTTTTTAAAAAAAAAAACAAGTAAATATTCTTGTTCTGCAGTCACTTGAAACACGAGAAAAGATTTAGATCTTTTTTTTTATACAGTTATAAATGGAAAAATAAAAAGGGAAGATAATCTTTATCGAGAAATTTTCTATTGATGACAAAGAGATGCAAATAAAATTGAGCATCTAAAGTACTTTATGAAAAGATCTTGATTTTTCGATCTAGACCCATTACTCAACACATTTCAACTAATTTAACATCTGATGATAATGGATTTCTCATTCAAATGCTTTAACCTGCATTTTCTAACTATTTTCGTAACTAAGTTTTTTGATGTTCCAAAAATAAAGCCTTATAGTTAACGTTAAATGTTTACGTTAAGATAATAATGATTGTAGGCACATGCCAAAGATAATGTTAATATTGTCGATTTAATATATCAGGAACACGAAATTGCTATGCTATTATTTACTAATTCTTGATTCCAGTCAGAATTACAAATCCGAGTGATAATTCTGACCAAAATTACGTATTGCAAATCGAAATTTTTGGCTAAATACAAAATTTTCAATACTGATGGGACTTCGTCAAGAGAAAGCTCATAAATTAAAAAAGTAGGATAAAGCATTTCTATCTAGTTATTTAGAAATTTGTCAATTAAGAAAAGATATATTTTTTGTTCCAAAAAAAAAAAATCTATATATAATAATGCCGATTTTATTTTATTAAATCTAGCGCAGCGCAGTCGAAACTTTTTTTTTTTTTTTTGAAGAACGGGCCAACGTTTTAAATTAAATGAAAAGTGAACATAGTGAATCATGAAATTTCGTTCTTTTAATTTACATTATCTTGAATATTCTTACGGTCGACACTTTTTTGAAATAGCTCATAGCATATTGGAATTGGATGATATTGATCCAATAAATTGAAACGAAGCGATTTGTCGAGCAGATTTGTTAGTTACGTCTCAATTTCAAGTCGGCATACTTAACCAATAATCTAATAAAATGTACATTTTATTAAAAATACAAAAAGTTATTTAAATAGGTTTCCTTCTTTCTAATCGTTAACTTTATATCCATTTTATTTGTTAAAGAAATATTCAATCGTTTTGAAAGATATTAAACCTGTTTCCGTTCTTAAAGAACAGAAACATGGACCCTTTACGTATTTTCTTTTAGGAGAATCTTTCTTATAAATAGCTTCAAGGAATACTATGTATATCAACAAAAACGAATACCCTATTTTCACCGTGATATCGGTTGCCAGCACTTCAATTCAAATAATCGTCTTCAGGTCCTCATTCTCTTCCACATACGGAGCGCAGGACTAGAAAGGCTCTGGAAGTAATTCCCAGCTCATATTTTCGATCTTACGTGTTGACTCGATCACGTAGTTTCCCCATCTGTTAATGAAAGCCAGCTAAAATTTTTTTCATTGAAGAATATTGACACGTTAGTCTACTTGGAGATCGAGATTTATCTTTCATGGCGATGATAGGGTTGTTCGGAAAGGTCATGAATATCATAAAGCTAATTAATTATATACTATATAGATTTACTTCTCTCTTAGGAACTAGGTTTTCTTGAATTACCGTGACGTGATTAAAAGACACATATACATATAAACAATGCCATAATAAAGTTCGGTCATAATGCTTGACCGCAACGTCAAAAATAAATACCGTATTAGTAAGACGTGCGCTTGAACAAATTTTAAATAAAGATTATCGAGTCGCTTGTTATACAGTACGTTCTAGAATTATGATTATCTCTTAAGGATTTTTAAATCATCAAAGATTCAGTTATTTGCCCACCCGATAAGTTTATGTAACAAAGTTTTTTTTTTTATCCCCAAATATTGTATGAAACAATTAAGGAGCGAAGTTGATGTAAAGTAACCTGATTGCTTAAAATAATATGATGATAGATTCTAGAACAAAAAAAAAAAAAAAAAAAAAAAAAAAATTTCCATTTTATGATCTTTATTCAAAAGTAACACTAAAACGTAAAGCTTGACAAATTCTACTCCCTATTGAAAATCAAAAATTAAGAAGTCGTGTGAAACTGTTGGATCGAATAACATTACATAAATAACTTTACTTTTTAAAGTTGCGGAACTTGCGAATCATACAAAATTTCCTTTTATAGTGATAGCCTAATTTTTAATTTTTAGCAATAGCAATCGAAACACCAAAAAAAAAAAATATATAAATATAAATAAACCCTGTCATTTAATTGGTTTCCCCGCCAAATATAAACTCGTAACTTTAAAATTCTTATCATAACAAATAAATTCGGAGGTTTTAAAAGAAAATATTACACACAAATACATGGGATGTAATCTTTTAAAAATCAAAATGAATACAAAAAGGCAAGACAATTCCAAAATATTATTAATAATAATAATAATATATTTTGCAGCTTAAATAATTATGTGTAATTGGTTAAAAAAAAAAATCTTTTCCCTGATAACTTATCTCGGCTCTCTTCGGTCGAAACTCTGCACTATCTTGGAATGATTCAAAATATTTGAAACCAAACAATGCACGTGTGTAAATCATATCTAATTAATTTTCTTAAGTAATTAATTAGCACGACATTAAAATCAACACCAACAAATATTTTCGAATTTCCCTTAATTTTTTTATGTGTTGATTCCAAATATTAGCAAGAAAACATAATAGATATTAATGGTTTGAAATTTTTTTTTTTTTTTAACTTTTTGACACGAAAAACAAATATTTTAATATTTCTATCAGGTGTCCAATCAAATTTCTTCGCAAATTAAAATGGTAGGTGGGATGATTTCTAACGAAATGAGATATTTTTTTTTCCAGGAATATGTGATTTTTCATGATCTTTATGGATCTTTAAAGATCAATGCATACATTGAAAAATGAAAGAAATTTTTTTTTTGATGCCATTATAATAAATTTGGCCCAATAAATTATTATTAATATTACTATTATTGTTGTTTTTTTGAATTTATTATTATTTTTTTTTTTGTTTTTTGATAAATCCGTTATTACTAAATAAATAACTGAAAGAAATAAATTTTTTTAAAATGAATTAAAAGAGCTTATAAGAATAATATATAAAGAGAAACATTATTTTTTTTATAAAAGGAAAAAAAAAAACAAAAAAAACAAAAAAGAAATTGTTTTTTCTTTTTTTTTGAAATTGCTTTGCTCGTTAAATCCGATATCTTAAAGATTATTTTTTTTTTTTGTTTTAAAAAAAAAAAATAAAATGAAAAAAAAAAATTATAGATAGATAAAAAAAAAAATGGAGAAATAAGAGTTTTTTTTTCCTCAGTTGTTAAATAAAAAATAAAGTTCCCAAAAAAAAAAAAAAAATCCTCCAAAGTTTAAAAAATAAATACATAAGAATAATGAAAAAAAAGTGAAAAAAATGCAAAAGAATAAAAAATGCAATGATGTTATTATTGGGATTTGTGATTAATGCATAAAAAGTTGTTTTGGATTAAATCGAAGCGCAATTCATTTTTCCTTGTAAGTTGTTCAATGTCGCCGAGTGAAAGGAAGTAGCCAAGTTGATTTTTCATGACTCTATTACCATGGATGAAGTTCAACGTATGTAATAACTAATACTTTGAATTAATTAAGAATTAGGGTTAGACTTACAATCTACTATTTGATGGAACAAAAAAAATCGATAAACTTGCAAAAGAAAGAATTCTCACCCTTCGTCCTCCACGGTTAGGTGATGATTTACTACTGCGAAGTGAACCTTTTGATGATCGCTTGTTACTATTTTTTTTCTTTACAGTGACCCAATCATCAGAACTACCATTAATTTGGTGTTCTTCGCTGGAATTTTGCATTAATTTAGCTTCTTGTCTCAAATCAGAAAATAAATCATTGTTGGAGAATGAATTGCATGGTGATTCTGGTGGTGTGGATGGTCCCACAAAGTGTTTTGGTGTATCATATAACTGTGCGATGCTGTTGCGTTTTTTTGACAAATTCTTTAATTGTATAACTTGTGAATGTAATCGAGCGATCTCTTCTTTCATTAATAAATGTTCGGAAGCTATAGATTCATGAATAAAATGAGGAGAAATTTGTTAGAATTCATAACTTTCTAATTTTATTTATTTATTATTTATTTATTTTTTTTTTTTTTTTGCGAAAGAAATATTCTGTACAAACCTTGAGATTTTGTTTGCTCAAGTTGTTTCCGTAATTTGTTATTTTCTCCCTCTAACTGAAATAATTTGGCTTTCTCTTGAACTAAAAGAATAAGGAAATAAAAAAAATTATTTAGCGTGCAATCTCACTGCGCCACAATACAATTAAAAACCAATTTACGATTTTGTACCTTGTTGATTTGTTAAATTTTGAACTTGACTTGTGAGTTGTTTGATAGTTTTGGCATTTGCCTTCTTTTCTTTCTCATGCGTGGCTTTAATTTTATTAAGTTGCTCTTGGGTGTCGTCAAGCTCGGCGCCGAGGCGTTCTTTTTCACATTTGATATCTTCTTGATAAACTTGTATTATGTAGGAAGTTATACCATCTCTATGAGCAATCATTTCAATGCTTTCTTCCAGTTCCGATCTTGTTGCTTTCAATTCTGCGTTTTGACGTTTATATTTATTATTTGTAGCGGCAAGATCAGATTTCGTGGTATCAAGTATACCTTTGATCGAGGAGAGATCAGCTTTCGCCCATTCAAGTTTTGATTTTGTAAAAGAAAGTTGAGCTTTAGTTGAATCTAATTGAGATTTAAAAAAGGAAAGTTGAGCCTTTGTAGCCTCTAATTCGTCAGCATGTTCCTCTTTTGTGGCATGAAGTTCCGCAGCATATTGTGCTCTTATCACGCCGATTTCGGCTAAAGATTTTGCCTTTGTGGCTTCAAGTTCAGCAGAACACATCGCTTGAGCGGCTTCAATTTCGGCATTACACATGGCTTGAGCAGCCGATAGTTCATTTTGCGCGTTAGCAAGGTCTTGTTGGGTAACTTCCAAATCTCGTTTTAAAGTCTTTATCTGAGTGGCATGATTACGAACGAGTTGTTCACGTTCTTTTAATTGTATTTGTAACTCTTCTATGGCTATATCACTTTCACTTATGGTGGCCGCCAGATCAGTTTTTGTAGATTGTAAATCATGAGCACATTCCAATAGGGAAAAATTTAATTCTCTTATTTCCCCTTCACGAACCTTTAATTCAGATTTTGTTCTATCAAGTTCAATTTGTAAATTAACTTTTTCCTTTTTAAATTTACTTAGCGCATCATTTAACTGTGCGGTGGTGTGATCACGTTCTAATAATGAAGATCTTAGGTCCTTGACCTCTTGACCACGATCCTTTAGCTGTATTTGTACTTGTTCTAAATCATGTATGACTTTTTCTTTCTCTGATTCCATGCCCTTTATCCGATTTTCCAATGTCCTTAAGGCGGCCTCACGTTGTTGTATTTCTTCCCTCAAGGTAGTGATGGTTATAGGTTCGACAGTCGAAGAGCGTACATTTTGTGCCACCGATTGTCTTTGATTACTTCGATTCTTTTTTTTCGCTAAATAGGTTTTAAACGCCGAAGCGAACTCCTTTTCTTTTTCGGGTTTATTACCTATTCCGACACCAATACCAACAATACCACCACCACCACCACCACCACCTCCTCCACCACCCACAGCGGCATCTTGTTCACGTTGTAATTGTTGTAAACGTTTTGCTTCTAATTTCGATTCACGTTTTGATTCTCTTTTTGAATCCAATTTTGGTTCCCTTAATGACGGCGGTATGTTAACATTTGATATACCTTCATCCTGTGTACGAAAAAAAGCAAAGCTATGTCTTGTTTGGCGACCACCAGGGTTACGGTTTTTAAGTTGCAAGAATTTCAAAGATTTCATACTTGTATCATGAGGGGGTAAAAGGTAGGGGATAGGAAAAGAAAAAAAGGAAAAAAAAAAAAATTATTGAGATTGTCAATTTTCAAAGGATTTTTATATTTAATAAAAAAAATGTAATTTTTTTTTTTCGTCATTATAACACAAGTAACGATGATTGTTGTTAATAATAATAATATTAATTTTTTGAACTTTATCGTATGTCGTGTAAGATGACATTTTCTTTATTACATGCAGTTGGTCTGTTTTTTTTTCTTGTAACACACGCATCTATTTTCTTTTGGACGAAATTTCTATTTTTATGTGATGCACCGTATTAAAATATTCTAATATCCGGAAGATTGTAAAAAATTTAAACTTTAAATAATCCGATTTAGGCCATGTGTAAAATTGAAAGTGTTACTTCAATAAGAAATTCCCTATATAGAGTTTAATTTCATTGCATTAATTTTAATTAAATAATTTGCATATATATAAATATATAATGGGGTAAATAATTAATCTTTTAGTGGTGCCTCGAATTTTTTTGTTCTTTATTAGGGGTTTAAGGGTACAATTGGAACTTTTTTCAGCCATTTTATTCAAGTATTAGTAAGTTGTGATGGGCAGATCGTCACGAGTCAATAAATTATGCAACTCATAATTTCTTCTCTCACGAAAATCTGGCCTTGTAACATTAATATTTCCTTAATTGAACTTTTTTTTTTTTTTTTTTTTTCAATGATAATTTCCACAAAGTCAATGACGAAAATCGCCCCACGTTGTTTATACAAGAGTGGGGGGGACGTGATTATTAATTTTTTTTTTTTTTTTTTTAATTATAATCAGGAAAATGTGGAACGTAGCAAACTTTTGCTAGTAATTTCTTGTTGAACGTGGGATGAATTGGAAGGAGAATTCATTTTCGATCTGGCCGCCACGTTTTACTAAAAGAGGAAAAACGCTTCTGCACAAGCCTAAATTGTTAATTTTCAAAAAGGTGCCGTAAATAGAAATTAACTCCATACTAAATAAAGTCATTTGAACATTGTCGTTACATTTTTGTAATTAATCAACATTTTATTTATATTATTTTTATTTTGAATCCGAGTTTCGGTTGTTTGTTCAAAGCCAAATTTATACAATAAAGTTAGTAAAGTTCAAATGTATTGGTCATGTCGTAATTTATCATCATCTTCATTCATATATGATACAGAAGGAAGTAGGGTTTGATCGCCTTTTGATTCGTCGCGATTCACCAATTGACTTGAACAAATCGAATGGCAAGGATTTTTATGTATTTATTGTACTCAAAAAGACGTTTACAAGCAACACCTTTTTGATAAAGCGTCATCGTTTTGATCCCTGCATATGACCAATCTGGAAATTCGCAATGGAGCGACTTCATGTGTTATTCTCGATGCGCGTTGTCGTGATGTTTGCTTTTTTATTTAGGGAACGTATTTTTTTTAAAAAAAAAAAAAAAAAGGTGTTTTAAATCGGTTTCACGGAGAAGCAAGCGTTAACAATGTTTCATATGTATCCTGTGGCAAATACTGCAATTCTCGAGTCGTAAATTAAGCGAATAAACGACATAATTTTTTTTTTCTTTTTACATGAGGTGATTATGAAACATCGATCCGGAACATAAAACGAATGACTTCAACGAATAACAAACAACCATTCAAATTTAATTTTACACCGAAAACAGGAAATTTACACCATTTTACAATATTGTAAGTGAAACTATGAAAAACAAGAAATATTCATATGCGAACATTCGAAATTTGAACCCTTGTGTACGTATTCTGCGCCACGTTCAAAAATTTTCACTTTCTTTTTCTTAAATCAATTATTTTAATTAAAAAAAAAATACATTCGATATCACTGTACAATATAATAATACAAATAATATATATATATATATTGAAAATTGATAGATGAACAAAAAAAAAAAAAAACGAAATAAATACTATTTAAAAATATAATGATTTTTTTTTTTTTTTAGACTTTAATGATTCTTTTTTAAAAGATACAATGATATAGAATTGGTTTGTGCCCGCAAACTTGAGGGGAATTGATGTTGTTGATACCTTTGTAAACCGAGAATGGACAGAACGGTCTTCGGATCAATGATCCCATTGTATTCGTGGTCGTACACGTCCTTCTCGTCTTCATCAGTTTCATCATCATCTCTTTCATCGGCCTCCCATTCTTCTTCTTCTTCTAGTTGAAGAAGATTTTCGTAATACTAAATAGAATCGGCAATTTCAATCGTATGTAAAGAGAATAATATGATGTCCCAAATTCAAAATTAAAAAAGTTTACCTCCTTTGCGTCCGACAATTTTTGATAGTCTGGATCATCAAAATTCATTTCATCTAATTCCAAACAAATCATATCGATGACGTCATTATAATCGGGACATCTCAACCAACTTGTCATGGGCAATTCACATCTGGAACACAACAAATCCGAAATTTTAATTCCAGTGAATTCCTCTTCATCATCATCATCACGATCATAATCATCATCATCGTAGATATCTTCAATGGCGACTTCATACAAATCTTCCACATCATATTCAGGAAAACCACAATTATTACAAGCGGCAATCTTATGATGGATATGCTTGGGTTGATTACAATTAAGACAAGATTGATTATAAATTAGCGATTTACGTCGGATTGCTAAGGATTTGAGGGTTAATATGTTCGATCCTTGTTCGTTTAACCATTTATTACACGTTTGGCACTCATTAAAGTTTGTATTTGGTTGATTACATCCTTTGCATGTACCAAAAATTTTACGACGACGGATTAAAGTTGGTGATTCTGGAGATTCTTCAACAGAAGAAACGACAGCAGGGTCGTTCGTTGAGATTTTTTGAGGTTCGGTCGGAGATGATGTTGATGGATTCATTTTCTGTTTAAAAACTTTAAACTTGTTTTTTTATTTTATTTTATTTTATTTTTTTACCTGTGAAGAATCTAAGGGAGAGAACCGATGTAAATGATGTTGTCATAATTATCGAATCCTCACAACTATTTCGAAATAAATACGTTTGTTTACCTTGTGAAAGAAAATCGTTAAATTTTAAGACGTCAAAGTATTTTTAAAGAGAGTAAAAGGTGTGATTAAATGAGACGTGTTATTGCAACAGGATGATTGTTAAGTGAATAAACGTGATAGGAGGTCGTTAAAAAAAAAAAAAAAAAAATCTTAAGAGGCGTAAAAAAAAAAGTCGTTTAAAATAAATATTTTTTTTTTTTTCACATACATGAAAAAATGGATATGAAACATTTTCGAATCCAGGTGAAGTGAAAGAGGTGATTTATAGAAACCAATCGTAAAGTTATTGGCGTTTCCTTCTGCGCGAAGCCGTCATGAACTTATGAACGCGTATTGTTTGTTGTGTTACAACATCAAGTCAAGCTAAACCTATTATGGAAAATAATACATTTCATACATATCAAATTGCAAGTTATTGGTTTCTTTTCTTTTCCTGAATAATAATAAATGCAAGGGATTTAATTTTTTTCATTTTCTCTTTATATGATTTTAATTATTTTGGCGGGCTTTTTTTCCCCTCCCTCCTTAGTTTGTAAACAATGTCGCATAAAGTGCAATCGATTTTGTAGATATGGATGATTAGAAAATTTTGCACATATTCTCCAATTCATTATTGTCTTTATAAAAAAAAAAAAAATTATTAAGGTCGAATAATCAAAATTTTTTTTTGATTATTATGTTCAAAGTTTGAGATAATCCTTGGAATAATTGATTGTCTTTTTTTTTTTTTTAAACCTTAAAAGATTAGATTAAGCAAATTTCATTTTTATTACTTTATAGATTTGTTTCAATAAAGTAAATTGTTATTGGTGCACTTTGTTAATTATTTAAAGTTCTTTTATGCATTCCATTGCGAGTACTGCGGTAATCGATGTTCATCATACATAATTGCGAAAGTTATCATTCACTAATGATCGTCCGGTTTATCAGCATTTTTCTTAAAAAAAAAAAAAATTCTACAATTTTCATTGGTTCAAGAATCGACCAATTAAAATTTTTCAGAAAATCGAACTTACTAATTTATAAATTTGATAACCCCGATTATATATATATAGTATTATGTTCTTTTGCTTTGCTTTTTATCCTAAAATAATCCCATTTTAGATGTAAAAATATATTAAGTTGATTAGAATTTCATATTTTTTTTTATGTAAGGATTTATTATTATTTAATAAATAATAAATATATATAATATTAGAACTAATCATTTTTTTTTTTAAATTTTAAAATAATCAAATAATTTATGATATTAAACTTATTTTATTTTATGATAAAATCAAATATATTTTATTTTTATATCAAATTAATAACAAATTTTTAAAGTCAATTGATAATTATTTTTAATAATTTATTAAAATAAAATTTAGAAATTTAATTATTTATTAATCATATAAAAAGTTTTTACAAATTAATCTTATAAATAAATATAAGTAAAGTATATATAAATTATCATATTTTAATCAAATTTATAAAATTTATTATTATAAAAATTTAAAAACTAATTATTAATTTTTAAGTTAACAATATTTTAATAATAAAATATTATATACTTTAAAATAAGGAAAAATGCATTTGTAACATCCTATTACATGTATTATTTATAACACCCTTTTTTATTTTATTTAATAATAAATTATTTTATTAAATATTTTATAAACAAGATTTTTAAATGCAAAATTTAATTTAGAAAACTTTTACTTAATATATTAAAGACAGTTCATAGACAAAATTTTCAGTTACAAACAATTTTTTAAAAAAATTCTTATTTTCATTATATAACTGATCTTTTATTTTGATTTGCTAAATTATTAACATTACACCTGATCTTAAATTTTAATTGAATAAAATTTTAGATGTTACAAATAAGATATGTAACAGGATGTTACAATTAGATTTATCCTTAAAATAATATTATATAATATATTTTTTTCATTATATAAATTAAAATATTAATTAAATAATTTATAAAATAATTTATTATATTCATATTATGTAATAGTTACTCAGTATTAAGTGCTAAGTAACTGTTATATTTACAATAAGTAATATGATCAATTAGAATTTGCAGTGTTACAGTTATGAGATCACGTGATGCTGAGTAATTATTTTAACAGTTTTACACAAAATAGTTTAATTTAAATTTTATTAGATTTTTTTTTTAGACAATTTTTCCATAAAAACAATGAAAAAATTTTTTTTCTCTTTTTTTCAAAAAAAAATTTTTTTTTTTTTGATAATATAAAATATCACAAAATATTTTATCTAAAAGCAATTATTTACTCTTTTTGAATAATTATCAGCACTTGCGAAAGATGAAGTTTCTCAAAACACAATTGCTAATACTGAAAAGTAGATCAAAATAATAAATAAGTAGAGAGCAGATGTTAATTATAATTATTCTATAGAAAGTCAAAATAAAGATACTATCAAATTATAAGTTACTTAATTCCTCTGTGGTGTAGCTTATAAAAAAAGGTGAATATTATTCAAAAAAATTTTTTAAAAATGCTTTATTTACAATTAGCAGATACTTATAAGATATTAAATTAAATTGGTAATACAATTTATATAATAAAATTGATTTTTCTGAATTGTATATACTATTTGATGATCACCTTAAAAATATGAAAAAAAAGGGTATTAGTAAACAAAATCTACTAATAAATTATTCTCTAATAAAATTCGTTATATTATTCAACATGAAACATTAAATCCTAATATTTCTTAGACTTATTAAAATGAGTTTTCTTTTGAATTTGTATATTGTGTATATCAAGAAGTAATAAGCATATTAATTTGTTTACTTTTTAATTAGTTAATACTCAGAATATGATTATTTTTAGAAAAGATCAACAAAAAATGATCAGAATAGAATTGAAGGCAATCAATTTAACTTAAATATTCCTTTTCCTTCTGATCTTCCTGGAATTACTGATCTAAATCATAATATTAAAAAATTTCTTTCTTTTTAACTTCAAAAAGAAAAATGTCTATACCTTTATTTATCAGTTAGCTAAAGTGCTAATAATAATTTTAATTATTATTTTCTGTCATTTACTAAAATTTTAGCATAAATAACTTTGTATTCTATTAGTTATAGCTAGTACTCCGTAAAGATCAAGTCAGATCAGATTTGAAACATATTCAAACTTGAACCTGTTAATAATTACAAAACCTGAGATTCAACTCAACTCGATCATTATTTAACTCAAATTCAACTCGATTAACTCAAAACAACCTGAGACTGATTCGAATTTCAAAGGTAATATTAACTCTGAAATAAAAAAGCATCATATATAATTTATTTTATAGTATTTTAAAATTGTTTATTTTATTATTTTTTTTGTTGGTATTAATTTCTATTTTTTTTACATTTTTTTTTACCAGGATTTTAAATACATATAGACACAAATTGTATTAGCTTTAAAACTGCATCTTTTGATCAATATTAGATCAGCTCTACTAGTAAAAATTCATTCTACTAAGACACTTATTGCTTTATTAAAAAAGTATTTGTTAATGTTAAATAACCAATTTTTTTTTACCTATAATCGCAAGATAATTTCTAACCATTATAGCTAAATATAAATATTCAGTTTTATGTAACTATATAATTTGATTATCAGTAATTATCTATTTGGTAATAAATTTAAAAAATCTTCTTATATAAACTTAAAGAATATCAAATATAAATTAATAAAGATAAATATAAAAAATAAAATAATTTATAATATAATACATACATTAGTTGACGTTTCCTTTACATTTAAAAATTCATCTAATATGCTTTATCCTTCATTTATTAAGTACTTTATATTTTTGGATTTTTATTAGGGTAATGACATTTTAAGTGATGCCAAAAATTTGTTGTATTTGAATCACTAATTTTACAAAGCCATATTTAAAATATTTTTAAATAAAAAAGATATAAAAAAACTTACATAATATACTGTTTTCTTTTTAAAAAATATAAAGAATAGTATAAGTAATTAAAATAATAAACTTCACAATGTGTACTTGAAAACTTATGTTCTAGCAGAAGAACTTTCTCTTCAAAAAGTTTTTGACAAAAAGTTCACTCTGCAATTATTTTTTAGAACTTTCAATAATGTCTATATTGGTAATGTCTTTAGTTTCACTCATTATATATTATTTGTTTATAAATTCAAGTTGTGTAATGTAAATTAGTCTAGCGTATAATTTATATTGCAAAAAATTAGATCACTAATCATTTGGATTACCTAGGTCACCCAAATTAAAGAAAATATGATCCTGATCTGACAGATTTTATCGAATTAGGACTCGTATCATAAAAATAATAAATCTGATTTGAGAAAAAATTTGAATTAGATTGAATAACCCAAGTTAACTCGACTGACTTAAAGCACTAGCTATAGCTAAAGAAAAGTGGTATACTGACAAGCAAATAGCAAATCATTTCATTCATTCTTTGTTTAAACTATATATGTTGAATGTAATATTAATATAAAAGAAAGGAATATTTGCAATCATTCTAAAAAAAAAATAAGTATTTTTGAATTATTTGATCTTAGAATTTCTAAAAATACTGGTATGGCAATTATTGGTTATCAATCTGTTAGTGGTTACTGTGTATATGCTAAAATCACAAAAAAGAAGCTCTTTTTGGAATTGTTAACTAACCTTTTATTACTATACTCAATACTATAAATATAAAGTACTTTCTTACATTCTAAATACTATTAAAAAAATAATGTAATTTTGCTAATTTCATATATTAGAAATGAAAAAATTCAATTAGTGAATCTAACTTTTCTCAATCTACTTTAACATCTGAAAGTGATTTTAATTTTGATGTAAAAAATAAATTTCAGATAATTATAAAAATGTCAAAAATAATTTGTTTATGATATTTTATATAATAATTTATTTAATAATTTATTTATTTTTTTAAAGGAAGATTCCATTTCAAATGTTTTTAACTTCTATATTTCTAAAGAAATTATGCAAAAAAATAGTCATTTATGAAGTATTAATTCTATATTATATGTATCTGATGAAGATCATATTATCATGAAAAAAGAAAAAATGATCATAAATACAAAAAAGTAACAATAGTTAAGAAATATTATAAAAATTGCACTTTCAATAAATAAATTAATAAATAGTTATTTACAATTTAATATAATAACTAATTGTATTAGCAAAAATTATTAATTAGTAAATGGCCGATAAAAATTTATATTAACTAATACATAAATCAATTAGTAATATAAATTTTAGAATATTTTAATATTAATAATATTTAAAATAAAATAATATTATATTTTTTTAATTATAATTAATATTATAAATTTTAATTTAATATATAATAGTAATATATATATATAAAATATCTAAATACACAAAATTTTAAATTTTTACAAAATTAATAAAATTAAATATGTTTTAAATTTTTTTATTTCTCAAAAATAATTAATTTTTATAATTCTATTATCTCTTAAACTATAGAGATTTGCAAGAAATTTACCTATTTATTTACTATAAATTTTCTTCTGATTTATTTTTATGAAAATTAAAATTTTTAAAAAATTTTTTTTTAAATTAATTTTATAAATATATATAATATTATAGTAAACTTTATTTTTTAATTATATAATAAATAATTTAAGTTTATTTATAAGCTAAAATTTTTTAAAAAATTATAAATTAAAAATTTTATCATTAACCTTTGACCATCTTATTAATATTTACTTTTAGCAATATTAATCATAATAGAATATTATAAAATTTATCATGAAGAATAATTTTAATTATTATAATTTTATAATTTATTAAGAAATTTTATGACTTTTATTAATAGTAAAGTTATTAAAATTAGTTTACAATCATATGAATTTTAAGAAATTTTTAAAAAATTATTATAATAAATTTTTTAAAACTTAATTTTAAAAATTAAATTATTTAAAAACTTTTAATAAACTTAAAATTTCTTCTAATAAAGTTAATAAAATATATATTAAATTATATTTTTTATATAATAATTATATTATTAATATTAATATTTTATTTTTTATTAAAAAATTAATACTTTTTTTATGTTCGCAAACAAATTTGCCTGCATTACAGACGAAGGGATAGTGGCAAGCTCATTCAAATGAATTTCTAATTTTGAGTAATATGGCTCAAGATTATCTAATAATATAAGCTACAAATGTCACGTCAGAGCGAGCATTTTCAATTGCAGAAAATATGATAACAAATATCAAAATCGTTTATTACCAGAAATCAAGAGCTTATTTATGTATAAAAAGTTAGATAAAATCTTAGTAAATTAGTAAAGTAGTGAATAATAATGTAATAAAATATTATAATAATGAAATAAATAAAGAATTTTTGGCAATTAAATTAAATATAAAAAATTTTTATATTAATACAAGCATTTCTAATATACATTATTGTTCGTAGAATAGGACAACTTTCATTAAATGCAATATAATTAGTAGTCTGAACCAAATATGCTTTACATTCGATAAAATAAATAAATTAAAATTGCATCAATCTTATATTAATTAATTACCTAAATAATAATTTAAATAATGATCTTGATATATTTATATAATTTTATATTTTTTAATTTTATATTTGTTAATTTATTTAATTTATTTAAAATAATTTAATTTTATCAGAGTTGACTCGGTCAGTTCAGTTCTGAGTACTAGTTATTTAAAGCTGTTCGATCAGTTCAACTCGCTTTGACTCGCAAAACTGAAATAAAACTGATAGAGTCATTCCCATTCCTAAATGTAGTTGATGCAAAATTTTTAACAAGTCAAGTAGTAAATCACAAAATGTTTACTTTTTGAGTTTTGATCGCAAAATCTGTTGATCATCTGAACATATGATTTTGATCAGGTTATTTTTAATCAGCCTATTTAATTTGCACATTCGATAAATGAAAAATTTTATACTTAAAAAAATTTTTTATTTACAAATGTCATACCAAAAAGATATCGAAAACTTATTAATAATAAATTTTATTAAATCAAACCAGATTTTTGAGGATTTTGATAATGAATCTAATGATTCTGAAGAATAATTTGAAGCTGAAGAAAATGAAATAATTAATCTTGAATTATGTTCTTTATTAGATTCTCGTTATTTAGAACCTCGTAAGTACAATATAACCAAATCTCAAGAGTGGTGGTATTCAATTCTTCCTAAATATGATGATATTAGATTTAAAAAATCATAAGAATAGATCCTCAAAGTTTTCAAAATCTTACAACAAAAATTAGAACACATTCAATTTTTCAATCAACTGGCAATAAATATAACTAGCCATTTTTTTTACGTAGAGTAGGTTCAAAAGATAAAATTTTTGATATATGTTTACAATTTGGTGTTTTAGAAGATACTGTTTATTTATTTTGCAAGAGAGTTATATCAGCTATTCTTTCATTAAAAAGTTCATTAATCATATGACCTACAGGAGAATTAAGAAAAATAGTTCATATAGGATTTAGAAATATTGGAGGATTTAATAATGTTATCAATGCTATTGATGTGATTCATAAAATACTAGAAACTGCACTTTTAAAACAACCTAAAATTTATTGGAATTGTAAAAAAAAATATTCAATTCAATATCAAGGTATTGTTAATCATAATGGAATTTTTATTGATTATGAAATAGGATTGTTAGAATCAGTACATGATGAAAAAGTGTATCGAAATTCATATTTTTATCAAAATTATAAAACATTTATAAAAGGATGGGATTATTTACTTAGAGATTTAGCGTATCCTTTATCTAGTTTTCTTATCAAACCCTTTAATAATTCTGTAAATGATTTGCAAACTCATTTTAATGTTACTTATTTCTTACATCATGTTATTATAAAAAATGCTTTTGATAAACTTAAGAATAGATTTAGTTGTTTAAAAGGATTATCTGTTAAAAAAATATCTACTGTAATTAATTTAACTAAATGCTGTATAATTTTACATAATTTTTTAGAAACAAATAATAATAGTTAGAATGAATTAGACAAAAACAATAGTAATAATGATGATGGTGTTATAGGAAGATATTGATTCAAAAGATCATGTGACACACGTGACTAAAAGTCATATTGATTACGTCACATTAGATGATAAAGACAGCGAAGATGAGAGAAATAAATTAAACAAAAGTTACGCAAAAAATCCAGAAGTTACCAGAAAATTCTATTATATTATTAATCATTTTTTATTATTAATTATTTATTATTTATAATCAATTAGTATTTTATTTATTTATATTAGCAAATTTAGTATAAATAGGATAGCTTTAGGACTTGGTTAAGGTGAACAATATTAGATAGCAATAGACAGTAGTAGATAACAAGAGATAATAATTTGTAAATACTTGGAACTCAATTAGTTTTTATCACCAACAAAATAAATACTAATAACAATTATATGTTAACAAATATAATTGTATCGAATTCCTTATCCTTTAATAAAATTCTAAAAGTTTATTTTAAATATACACTATTATTTGAAATAATAATTATTTGTAAACCCTTCAGAGCTCTCCCTAAAGTATCAAATAAAAGCTGAATCCCTTTGTTAATCTTGCGATAATATTAATTTTCAGTCGTTAGTATCATAAGATAACAATTTGGTGCAGGTTAGGTAGAATAAAAACTAATCTGATAAATCAAACGTATGTGAAGGATACTTAGACAATTAACAGTAGCTGTAGGACCTATTCTTCTCCAATTTCAGCTGCGGGTCACTGAGATTCAATTTTAGTATAAATCATTAGAGAACGAAGAAGTTATTTTAATCAATCATCTTAAATGTTTACAAAGCAACATCAACGATCTAAAATATTTTATTAAATTTCATAAGATTAAGGCCATGTGGGATGAATTAGTATTTAGTAACGACTACTTTGACAATAAATCTCAATAAATCTGAAGGAATCTAGCACTGACCATATCACTGAAGAATAATACCTACTAACTGTTCGATAACACATAGCTGCTCATAAGGAACTTGAGAATCATAAAATCTTATTTATTACTCATTTAGATCAATTCTGCCTACAGTATCACCTAGACTACGAAACTTAATCAGAAAAATTACCATATTTTGATAATTTTAGTTTCTGTGGATTGCACCTAAATATAACGCTATATCATACACTACCTTTACTGTAACATATTTTATAAGGGCCCAAGAGAGTGAGGCTAGTTTTTTGGAAAGAGATCGCTTATTGAAATATTTGTTGAGAAAAATTGTTACTACAATTAGATATAGAGACAATATACTAAAGGAATCCTTTGATAGCATCGCTGATAAATTATATCAAATTTGGATAAAAACAAAATAGTTTCAATCGTGAGAAATTGAAAGTGTTAGCAGTACTGACTCAATTATAAATAGCAATTGTAGTGATACCTCAGAAAATATGGAAAGAGATCAAAATGATACTATTATAGCACCTTTTCAAGGAAGTAATGAAAGCTTCCCAGGGATGACACTGCCAGTAGCAATAAATGGATCATCATCAGGAACTACCACACTCATACCTCAACCACTATCTAATATACCATCTTATGTACAACCACGACAACCATACCTGGAAGATAAGAGGTAATATGATGAAGAAGAAAATGATATATATGTCCCTGATTATGAACAAAATATTCTATTTGAATATGTCAATAATGATGACGAAACATTATAGAGAACATCTTTCTTGATAATACAAATGAACTAGAGAGAGGAGGAACTTCAAGTAGAATACCTTAAAGAGTTATATTTAATACAAATAATGATAGGAGGTCTTCATCCCCTATTAGGGTAAAAAATATTCAACAATTAGTAGCCTCAACATTATCCAGTAATCAATTGTCAAGGCTATCAAATTTAAGGGTAACAACTCCATCAGTTGGAAATACAAATAATGGATTATTATTGGGAAATCCTTACAATTTTTTCTAAGCAACTCAATATAGTCATATATTTGACCCCTTGACACTACTTGATCCTTTCTGAAATAGCAACCCATTTACAACCTCCAGTTTCATAACTACAAATTGGCAACCAGTAAATAACCGTTGACTTGAAGTAACTTAAGTAACAGAGGAAATAATACAATGGGATATCAAAATATAACTACCAAAGAAACCTCACAGTCAACAATGGTAGTCTAACCATATAATATGCGATCACTATCAAACTCCTGAAGGGTAGTTCTCAATCAACTAGCATAACAACTTCTCAGTCAGTACCTAGCAGTCAACCATCAAATAATATAAACACCTCTCAGCCAATACTTACATCTCAACTAGTTATAGTACCAGTAGGAGGAAATAATGACAATACTTACCTTCAAGTCATACAAGGGCTAGCAGGATAACTTCAAGGATAATAAATGAGAAAACAATGATTGGTAGATTTGTCAACATTTAGAGAAGGAAATCAAGATTCAGTGAAGTGGTTTGAGACTTTCAAATGAGCTTGTAAAGCAAACTGTATCAATACCACTCAAATGATTAAAATAGTCTCCAATTATTTAACAGGAACTACACTGACATGATTCTAATGACAATATATTACCAACTGGAATAGTAGGATTAATCCTGATACTTCTTTCGTACCATTATTTGAACAACATTTCTACAATACATTTCGACAAAATCAATGGAAGTATCAGCTTAGGCATAGGAAGCAAAAACCAGGTGAAATGATTGAAGAATATGCGGTAGCAATAGGAGAATTATGGAAGTGAGTTGACCCATAGTATAGGCAAGCTAAGATGGATAGAGTTGCTGAATTTATTGAAAAGCTGCAATCAGAATTTATATTACCAGTGCAAACAGCAATGCTAACAACAGTAGATCAAGCAATCGAAAAGGCCAGAGCAGTAGAATCTGCATATTCCATTAGAATAAAACTATCTGCCTATTCATTAATGCCTAATTACATGCAATTATTACAAGGAGAAATGGTACCAGCTCGCACAAGTATAGCAATGCAATCTACATATATTACACAGCAGTCAGATATTGAGGGCACTATTAATCGCAAACTAAATAAAGGGTTACAAGCGATTATGGTAAACATTAGGCAACAACAATAACAGTAGTAGCAACAGCCACAACAATGGTCACACAAATATTTTAATTGTGAAAAATTTGGATACTTGTCTAGAGATTGTAGCAGTAATCGACATATAAATAATGATCAATCAAATATTGAATACTTTAACTGCAGAAAGTATGGTAATTTCGCCAAGGATTGCAGGAGTACAAATAATAATAGAAGTCGAAACTTTCAAAATCATAATGATAACAACAGAAATCGTAACTGCAGTAATAGCAGGAATAGGAATTATAGAAATAATAATAATAATAATAACTACAATAATAACAGTAATAATAATAATAATAACTAACAGCATTTAAACTAGAAGTCACACCTCTTAGGGATGAGTGTGCAAACAAACCAAAGTCCTTAAAAGTGAAAGAAGAGGAAGAAGCAAAAGAGAATAGTCAAGGTGAAGCAAAAACAAAAGCAAGTTTAATAGAAGTACTTTATGTATGTAGAGGAATAAATTTGAAAATGCGATTCAGAGGACTATATAAAACAAATATGATCACTCTAGTTATAGAGAATATGATCATCACAGTCATATTGTATGTACAAATTGTAATAAGATCGCTAAAGGAATAGCAGCACGATGCAAATGTAAGAAAGTAAAATGGAAGGATCCACTAATTAATGAAAGGATTTTCAGTAAAATCAGCCAATTAAATCAGTAGATCTCCAATAACAAGAAGAAGTCACTGTTAAAAAAAGGCCGAAGTATATGTTAGGGATCTTATATGATGACAAAGGAATCTATCTTTCAAAACGAATTGACCTAAATAAGAAAATGTATAACTTATGGCAAATAGTCAGTGGAAAAGTTGAACTAAGGAAATCATTGATAAGGACTATGATTCGAGAAATTGATGAAGAAACTGAAATACAATTAGATAAAGATCACTTAGAATACATTTTAAATGATTCTATATATAATTGTGACGTATATAAAGTAAAGCTAAACAAAAAAATACCTTAACATACTGAATCTATCAAATATAGCGATTGGCAACATTTTGAGTTTGATGAATATTTATAAATGGTTAGTCTAAATGAACTAATACCAACGCATAATAAATATGAAGAATTTTTCATATCTAAATTAAAGAAACACATTATTACTAGTAATACAGCATATGATGAACTTATCAAGTATGCATTGTTTATTGAAGCCTAAGTGGAAGGATATTCTATAAATGCTCTAGTAGATACTGAATCTGTAGGAAGTATTGTTATTCAGTAGTATCTTAGACAAATCAATAAGAAAATTGATGAACCTGCAAAAACAAAAATCATAGGAATGGATAGAAAAACTATAATGCCTTTAAGAACAATTAAAGAAGTTACAGTAAAAGTTAATGGAATAACTGTTAATGAAGATATGCTAGTAACCAATGTTATAGAATATAATATTATCTTAGAAAACACCTGGTTGTAAAAAGTTCGTGCAATCATTGACTATGATACTGATATCCTAATCGTACAACAAAGAGATCAAACTTCTATAACACCTATAACTTGCATGTAGGACATATATCTAGGAAGGTTTATACCAATCAAGCCTAAAATAATAGTAGATAAATTAGAATTTAAAGAGGAGGAAGATATTGATATACAACAATGTTTTGCTATTATTCCTAAAGAAAAAGAGGAAGTAATCCAAATAAATAGAAAAGAATATCCTGAAATATACTTACAACAAATTGAATATGAAATAGATGTATAACAAAATAAAAATTAAATGGGATCGATTACATATTGGTATTTGAAAAATTTAGAAAATGAAGGCCAATGTGATGACTGTAGAGAAATTGTAAGGATAATACAAATCTATTAATACTATAGGAATAGTATAGATCTACAAGCTGCCTATAAAGTTCAGATTGAAGAGAATGATATTTAAGTAGAAATTGGTAATGATTTAGGAAAATATACAACTTGTGGAAAATTAACAGATGCTTCTTTAAAACAACTAAAAGCATTTTTTGAGAAAAACCTTAATAGTTTTGCGATTACAACACAGAAATTAACATATTCAGAGCAATATGAACATTGTATATTTACTAAAGATATACCACCAGTTGCACTAAAACTATATTGAACGTCAGTAAAAGATAATCAGTATATTCAGCAGGAAATTTAAAATATGTTAGATCAAGGAATTATACAACCTTCTCAAAGTCAATGGAGCTCACCCGTAGTTCTTGTAAGGAAAAAGAATAGAAAAATGAGATTCTGCATAGACTATAGGAAATTAAATGATATAACAATAAAAGACCAATATCTCTTACTAAGAATTGATAAATTATTAGAATCCTTGAGAGGAGCAACGTGGTATACTACCTTAGACTTAGCTTCAGGATACTGGAAGTTTAAGGTTAGAGAACAGGACAAACCCAAAACAGCATTTATTACGAAATATGGATTATATGAATTCAATGTAATGCCATTCAGGTTGTGCAATGCACCAGCCACCTTTCAATGAACTATACCTTGATGATATTATCATATTTTCCAAAAGTTATGACGAACATTTACAACATCTCCAACAGGTTTTCAATTTATTAAAAGAAGCTAAATTCAGAAAAGTATCATTTCTGCACAAACAAAATTCAATTTTTGGGACATGTAATATTAAAACAAGGGATACAACCTGATCTAGCAAAAATTGAAAAGATCATCAACCTCAACGTTCTATTCAATATTAAACAATTACAAACTGTATTAGGATTATTCTCTTATTACTGACGTTTTGTTAAAAATTATTCTAAATTAGTAGCCCCATTGAACGATTTTCTAAAAAAAAATGTGCCTTACAATTGAACAAAACAATATCAAGAGATTTTTGAAATACTTAAGGAAAAATTGACTTCTGTGTCAATCTTATCCTATTCTGATTTCAATCAATCTTTTATTTTGAGTACTGATGCAAAAACTATAGGACTAGGTGCAGTACTTTCACAAAAAGACAATGAAGGAAGAGAACATTCTATTTGGTATGCAAGCAGAATATTGAGCCCAGCTGAAAAAAATTACTATATTACTGAACAAGAGGCTTTAGCAATAGTATAGGCAGTTAAATATTTTAGAAGGTACTTAGAAAATAATACATTTATTATATACACCAATTACTCATCATTGCAGTGATTATTGAATTAACTCACTAAAGAAAAAGATAGTAAAAGGATTATTCGTTAGAAGATTCTATTACAACAATTTCAATTTGAAGTAAAATATCACAAAGGAAAGGCAAACGCGAATGCTGATACTCTCTCAAGGATTGATGAATTACAGATACCAAATACATCACAAACCTTAACATCAATAATAGATTATGGATAAGCAACAATATCAAAACATAATTCAATACCTTACCAACTTCATTTATCTAGAAAATTGTGATACTTCTCAATAGAAACAAATTCAACGATTATCAACCCACTACATTGTTAAAAATTCACAATTATACAAACTAATCAAGGAAGGATTAAAAAGAGTAATTACACAAGAACAAATAGAAGTACTCTTATTTAATTTATACAAATATATGTCAGGAGCTCATCTAGGAATTGAAGCGGTATACAATAAGACTAAAGAACAATATTATTGGTCACAAATGTTCGAAGATATTAAAGAATATGTGAAAAATTGTGACAACTGCTAATGAAGAGAACCAAGTACCAGAAAAGAACCATTATATCTTATTTTAGTTAAAGCACCTTTTCATTGAGTAGGATTAGATATAAAAGGACCATTACCTATTACAAAAATAGGGAATAGGTACATAATAGTTACAATAAACTATTTTACAAAATGGTCAGAAGCTAAAGCCATTAAGGATATCAAGACTGATACAGTAGTAAAATTTCTATATGAAGAAGTGATATGCTGACATGATGCATCTGAGAAAATACTCACAGATCGAGAAATATCATTCATGAATCAGGTAATAGCACAATTATGTCAAAAGTTTCAAACGAAATATCGATTGACATCATTATACTGATCTCAAATAAATGGAATAGTAGAAAGATTTAATCGAACTATAGAAGAGTGTTTAGCTAAATTAGTATACGATCAAGAAAATGAATGGGATACTTATATTTTATCAGTATTATTCGCCTACTGAATAATAAAACATAAAATTACAAGTTACACTCCATTTTACCTCATGTATAGATGACAAGCAATGTTACCAATAAATTTGTAATTAAATTCTGTTGAAATAGATGAGCAAAATATTAATGATGCTCTGATGAATAGATTAACAAATTTAATTGACAAATTAGAACAAGATAAACAGGATGCACTTGATAATATAAATCAAATACAAGAGCAACAAAAAGATCGACATAATGATCAGTGAGTATCAGAAAGATTAAAAATTAGAGAAAAAGTTTTAATTGAGAAAATATGGAAATGACGAGATATGTCAGCCAAATTGGAAGCTCAATGGATTGGTCTTTATTATATTTATGATGTAATTGATTTCAACAATTACAAATTAAGATCACTGGACAGACGAATAGTTAAAGGAATAGTACATGGTGATCGACTGAAGAAATATAACGAACAGGAAATAGAACTAATAATAATTATTTCCTAAATTAGATACCAATTTTAGTATACTTCTGACGATCAATAATTATAATATAAATGGATTCAATTTTACTAAAATAATAATAATAAGGAAAAAGATGTCACAAGAATATCAACGGATATATTTTGATTTATTAGAACTTAATCTATCTAATATAATATTACCACTCTTGCCTGATATGTCTTCTTAAGATTTAAATATGAAGATAAAAACACTATTTCGATATACATAATGACAAATAGTTACAAGGAAAAGAAAAGAATCTTTAATTTATCTTTATTATATAGGAGAAATAATCAACAAAGAAAATATTTCACAAAAAGATTCAAAATTATCAAAGTATTATTATACTGCAGCAAAACAATTATTTCTTAT